ATGGTATACTGGGCTGCACTGGTAGGTGTGTTGCCAGTGGGTGAAGGGAGGTAATTATTCCCCTCTATTCAGCACTAGTGAAGTCACATCTAGAGTAGTGTGTTTAGTTTTGGGCCCCCTCACTACAGAAAGGATGTGGACATGAAGGGTAAAAAGAAGAGTTTTTACAGCAACAATGGAAAATCAGAAAAAGTGTGGGTCCCTTACTGACTGGGGGAGGCAATCTAATAACAGATTATGTGGAAAAGGCTGAAGTACTCAATGCCTTTTTTACTCAGTCTTCACAAGCAAGGTTGGCTCCCAGACTATTGCACCTGGCAGCACAGTTTGGGGAGGAGGTGAACAGCTGATAGCAACAGGTTAGCGACTGTTTTAAAAAGCCAGATGTGTACAAGTCCATGGGGCTGGATAGGATGCACCCGAGGGTACTGACGGAGTTGGCAGATATGATTGCAGAACCACTGACAATTATCTTTGAAAACTCATGGAGACTGGGAGAGGTCCCAACAACTGGAAAAGGGCAAATATAGTGCCTATCTTTAAGAAAGTTATGTACAAGGATACGGGGAACTACAGACCAGTCAGCCTCATGTCAGTCTCTGGAAAAATCATGGAGCAGGTCCCTCAGGGAATCCATTTCTAACACTTCGAGGAGAAGGTGATTAGGAACAGTCAGCACGGGGTCACCAAGGGCAAGTCATGCCTGACCAACCTGATTGCTTTCTATGACATGATGACTGGCTGTGTGGATGCAGGAAAGCAATGGACATAACATACCAGAAGAAAGTACTAAAGCATGGCGCTGTACGGTGATGTGTTGACATGCCCAGTGGTGGTAGGTAACAGAACAAGGAGCAATGGTTTCAAGTTGCAGCAGGGGAAGTTCAGGTTAGATAGCAGGAAAAACTCTCACAAGGGTAAAGCCCTGGAACAGACCCAGAGAGGTTGTGGAATCTCCATTTTTGGATGTTTTAAGACTTTGGTAGACAAAGCCTTAGCTGGGATGATATAATTGTGGATTCTCCTGCTTTGAGCAAGGGTTTGGACTAGATGACCTGCTGAGGTCCATTCCAACTCTGATTTTCTATGATTCTCTGTAATAAGCAACTGACTGAATGTAGCCCATGTTCCCACAGGTCTCAGCAGTGATGATCAACTCCCCTTAGTACATTCTGGCTGCTTGCAGATGTTCTAAAAAAACAAAAAAAAGCGGTGCTTTACTTTAAGCTTGTCATGCTCCTGTGCCAAGCCCAGCGCATGCCTAGAAGAGGCATTGCATTAGTTGGACCTGGCTCACCCACCATCTGTATAGATTGGGTGCTTTAGTGAGGCTTTTCTGGCTTCAATCAGCTTTACCTTAAAGTGCCAAATGCCCTGCTGAAGTGCCTGATCTATACAGACGCTATAGACCTGGGTGAAAGTAATGTGCGGCTTCTTCTGGTAAAGAGCGTTTTTGTTTGGGTTTTGTTTTTTTTAAATGTCTGCAAGCAGCCCCTGATTTTCACAGATGGCATTCAGAGGGGCTCTTCTATAAGCTCTTCAGTGGACTGTCCTATAACCCTGGAGTCACTTTCCTTTCTTGGTGTTGGGTGTTAGCATTGAACAAGATACCCCTCTGATATATAAGCCACACAAGATGGAATAATGCAAAAGGCAAGAGTCCTAGTAGCATTAATGTCATTTGAGATCTCTTATAAAAATGTTGTGCTACTTCTATTGAAATCAATAGGATCAGCAGCAGACTCCACAGTTGTATTACTTCCTCTGAGAAAATTAAAATGCATATTAGAACAATTATAAGTCGAAAATTCTGCTGTTTGTAAAAAGATTTCTTTTTTCTTTTCTTTCTCTACACTAAATAAGGGGCAGAGATATTAGAGCTTCAGAGACTGCCATAATGCCTGGCTTCCCTGAGAAATTCTGTGGGGAAAATAAAAAAAATTGGCTGGAAGGATAAAAACAAATTGAATTCAAAATGAAACTTTGAAATAATACACGCTTTAATATACGCTCTGTTACTTGTGAGATAGGATATCATTGCACCAGAATGCTGCTCTAGGCACTAACAATATAATTTTGACACAGTGTTGCAAGTGAGACAAAAGCCTGAACCCAAGCCTTAGCAGGTAAGGAAGACAATATACCAAACCCACAAACTCCCATCAGGTTTTGCACTTCAAATAATAGGCATACTATTGAACTGGTCCTCTCCCCAAAAGAAAACCTAGAAAAAGTGTTTATTTTTCAATTTCTAAGTTAACTGAGCTAAAAAAAACCTTATGAGTCAAAGTTTATTATGTAAAAATTCTCACAGAGGCTGCATGATAATTTTTAGTCAAAGCAAGTTTTTACCCTGAGATTTCAATCTCAGAAAACAGACATTTACAATGGAAGCTGGCCAATAAACAAGCATATGCCTAAAGTGCAATTAGCATATTACACAAAAACCCAAATGAAAAACAGACAAAACTTTAAAAACATGACAAGATACAGCTTCCTCTTGTTCATGACTTCAGTGTGAAAAAAAAATTGTATCTTTATTTTTGGCTTCATCTTCTTGTGTTTTCTATTCCTGGCTGCATTTAATTATGACATGCAGTGCCTGTCCCCGCTCAGTACATTTAAGGGCACTGGACAGATTAGATAAATGTAATAGCTGGTGAGTGACAGAATTCTGGTAAGACAGTGTCCTTGAACCTCTGCAAACCTACAGTGAATTCTGGGGGCATGGAATTCAGACAGTGCTATGCTATCACTGCTACAGAAGTCCTAGAAAATCAGATTCTTGTTATTATTACAAAACATAGTTTTGAAGTGAGTTTACCTTAACATTTGCAATAAAGTTTAAATGAAAGCTTAACTAAAATCAAGCCCAGACCAACATAGAATCTTCTATAAACAGTACATACCATGCTATGTATCTAATGAATTTTATATATGGACTGTCTGATAATAGATTTCATAGACATTAGGGGCTGGAAGGGACCTTGCAAGATTGAGTCCAGCCTCCCTGCCATAGGCAGGAAGTCTGCTGGGGTCAAATTATCCCAGCAAGATAAACGTCCAGACACCTTTTGAATGAGTCCAGAGTAAGTGTTTGCACCACCTTTGGGGGGAGTTTGATCCAGACCCTGGGCACACAGACTGTAAACACAATAAGACCAGCTTTGCTACAAATGTTGTCTTAAGACATTTTATAAGGATACCTTGACTTTAATAGGGCGCTGACAGACATGGGAAAAAAAACAAACACTTTACTGGAAGCAGCAGTGTGTTACTTTGACCCGCCTCCTCAGCACCTGTACAGATCAGGTGCTTCAGCAGGGCTTTTTGGCGCTTTTCACTAAAGCTGATTGAATTAGCTGTTAGTGCCGAAACAGACCCACTGAAGCGAGTGGGCAACAGACATTCGGCAAGCCAAGTCCAACTAACAGGCTGCCTCTTCTGGGCACGTGCTGGGCTCGGTGCAGCAGTGTGCTGAGTTTAAAGCACTGTTTTGTTTTGTTTTCACATCTGCAAACAGCCTAAGGTATTAAGACACTGTCTTAATACAATGCCTTACTGTGACCTTTCTTTCTGTTTTTCTTTCTTTCTGTCTTTCTGGAAATAGGCTTTATTTTGTGATGGCTAGAGACTTACTGAAGCCCAGTAGGATTATTCTAAATCATCTGAAAGGAACTTTGAGAGAAAAGTAACTTCGCTGCTTCTGAAACAGAGGATTTATCCATATCACAACTCCAGCTGACAGCAGAATATGGAACAATTCAATTTGGTCTAACCTAGGTAAAAACCAGCTTGATGGCTGTCAATAGCAATACTGAAGCTTGCTTACTTGAGGTGCTATTTGGCTCTTGAAATGTAACTAATCCCTTTTTCTTGTGTGATTATTTTAAATCAGTTTACAGTCTTAACCTAGATTTGAGTAATAATTCTACAAATGAGAATACTAGTTAGTACTTCATTAAGCACATGCTAAACTTAAGGCATAGTAACTAATGTGCATTAATGAACGTGCATATGTGCCCACAATGTGACAGATTCTGTTCTAAACAGCTGTGTATTTTAAAACTGTAACCTTTGTTTAAGACTATAATTTGCCTTAATGGCTAGGCTTAGTCACACAGTGAGTTGGAGGCAGGTTTTTCCATTGTCAACAATAGGTCTATGTTTTTTGTTGATTTTTCAAAGATTTGCAATAGCTACAGTAAAACCATAAATTATCCAACATAGATTTTTAACAACGAATCCCCAAATTATCAAAACAATAGATTTACTTAAGAACTACATGGAAGACTAAATTAAAATGTTGTTCTAAGCCACATCTAGGACAACCACAGCTTCCAGAATATGAAGGAGAATAAGCTGGCTGCTCATCCTCCCCTGAGATGAGGAAATTACAAAGTACGTTAAGTGACAAAAGAAGAAAATTAATTATTTTAGCTACTATAGGGGAAATACCAATTACCCAGTTCTGGGAAGAGAAAATAAATGAGAACTTTCATTGCCATACTACATTATGTAAGAGAGACTAAAGTCATGACACTGTCATTTCCTATCTGTCAAAACTGAGCAGGTGGTTTTATCGCAAATAAAAAGCATCCCCATCCACTTTGAAGTAAAGCATTCCATGGGAAAAGGCAATGTTTTTCTCAGTTTATAAAAAGTACTAGTAAAGTTTATCAGTTTTATTTTCTGAGGCTTTATAGAAAACCATTTCCCATATGCCAAAGTAAAGCTATAAAGAAGTATGTAGCATAGTAGAAAGATGAATTATAATATAATTATTAGATACAAGAACAATTATGTAGCTTGAAAAATATTTATTAAATATGTATTTGATAAATCAGTTTTGTTTTTAAAATATTTATGCAGGGACAATTAGAAATGTTACTGTTTACTCTATGACAATATATTCTCCCAGGCAAACAAACATTTAAAAATATTTACTATACACATTGCTAATTATATATACCATAAATGTTGTATTTGATTAATTGTACCTTAAAGGAAAACTTGCGGTGGATATGATCTTCAGGTCCAACGGGAGATATGACATAACTAGGCAACGGTATGCTACCCAAAACAGTTTCTTCTCTGCTATCTATTGAATGGAAAAAGTGAGTCACTGTACCTCTTCAATAAGATATTCTCCCTATACAGTACCATCAAACAGTGGAGAAAACAGTGCCTATTATATTATGCTCCTGAAATTTCTCCCATTTCCAATTTTTTGTTTTTTCAGCCAGAAAAATAAGCACTCAAAATAATTCTTCTGCTGATATACTCCAGGGACTAAAGAACAGAAGAGAGGAACTGGAAAAAACAAGGCCACCAAAGTGACAATGTGTTAAAATGCAAGGAACTAGTGATTCAAAAAATCTACTGGAGTGCCAAAGACATCTCTAGGCACCACTGTCTCCACTTATGCAGCTGATCTGCCCTCTCCCCTCCTCAACAGCCCCACCCCAAGGAGTCAGCAACTTGGGGCATTTATACACATGCTCTGGGAGGCTCAGGGTGGGGGAGGGGCTTTAACTAGAGTAGCTTTGGGAGCTGCTGTAATTAAAGCACCAGGAGTGTCACGTGTATCAGCGTCCCCACACTGAAAAACGGCGGCAAAGGTGCTTTAACTAATGCTTGCCCAACAAGCTTCAATTAAGTGCCCCTGGTGCCATTTTTCAGCATGGGGACACTGATACTCATGATGCTGGAATCTGCCAGAGCACGGTAATTACAACACATTGTAATTACAGTGCATGGGAGTAGCTTCAATGTACTAGGCACCCCTAGTGACTCTGCTTCCTTTTCCTTCCCACCTTGCATTAACACATTGTGCAATGCTTTGAGATCAACATATGATACTACATAGATTTTGATGCCACATAACTGTAATGATTTAAAAGTCAGTAAACCTGCATGATGTAAAATAGACTATCAAGTGTGACTCATACATCCAACTTATTTTCTAATTAATTATTTAAGCAGTTATAGAGCTACCACAGTCTATATACAAACAAAACTTCTGGGTGCTTGCAGACATGGGAAAAAAAACAAAACATCACTTTACTGTAACCTCAGTGAGCTCCTGCATCAACCCCAGCGCAAGACCAGAAGAGGCAGAGCTTTAGTTGCACCCAGCTTACCCATCATCTGCAGAGATCAGGCACTTGGTGGGGTGGTTGGCACATTTATCTAATTCAGTCGTCTCCAACCTTTTTAGGTTGGCGAACACTTTTGGAATTTAAGAGGAACTGAAGATCTACCTCCCCCACCCCCTGGCCCAGCAGGTAAGTCTGTGGGGAGGGGAGGGGGGGTGGATGGGATAGGGCCATGGGGGAGTGGGGCAGATCAAGGCCCCAGCCCTACCCCACTCCCTCCATCAACACTAGGGCCTTGATCGCTGCCCCCAATGCTGGTGAGGGAGGGGAAAGCCCTACACAGCTGGGGCGGAGTGGAGGACAAAGCCATGAGTGGCCTGTCCAGGGAGTTCAGGGAGGGGGCGGGGGCACGCAGACCAGGAGGGCGGGGGGGAAGGGGCATGTCCCCAAAGCTGAATGTGGGGGGACTCCCAGCACCGCTGCCATCCGCGCTGAGCACAGTGCAGGCCAGGCCTGGCGGGAACAGCCCAGAGCAGCCTTCCAGCCCATAGCTGTAGCTGTCCTTCCCCTGTGCCCACCAGTCCCCAGCCCCAATGTCCTCAGGGGGAGGGGAAAGCTGTGCTCACCAGGCCTGGCCTGCACTGCACTCGGTGGTGGTGCTGGAAGCAAGGGTTAGGGAGGGGTTACAGTCTCCCTCTGCATGGCCTCACTCCCAGCACCATCGGTGTAGCCACCCAGCCTGAGCACAGCCCAGCCAGGGAAAGCCTGGCGCTGTCCCGGCTCCAGCCCACCCTGCCCTGCCCCCAGATCCAGAGGCATGCACCCCCCCCATCCTCCTGGGCTGCTTTTCCCCCCCTCCCCATGCCCCCTGGCTGTGCAGGGCCTGCCCCCACACCCTACATACAGCTACTGGTGCTGCCCCGCATTTGGGGGGGCACATGCCCCCCCGCCCCCCGATCTGTGCACAGCAGAGACAGCTGCAGCTGTGGGCTGGGCTTTGTGCTCCGAGCCCCGCTGCACGTGCCCCTGAGGCCTCTGCCTGTCCCCTCCCCCACCAACTGACCTGCTGTGCTCGGGGGGGTGGGGTTAGGGCGTACACATGCATGCATACGCTCAGCCCCCCCCAGCCCAGGATCAATTTGAGGAGACTCCAGGATATACTGGTCAATCACAATTGACCAGTTTCATGAAACAGACCTTTTTGGAAAATGTTTTGGCTTGCTTTCTGAACATCTCTTAAAGTTCAGTATTTTTTCCTAACCATGCCATAACCCTCACATAACTATTTTAATATTACTTTTGTAACCCAAATCCTCACCAGTAAGCAAAATTACTGTTAGCTTATTTGAATTGGTTTTGGCTAAGGCATGGGTTTGGGGAAACAAGAGACCAGGGTTTCCAGCTGTCACAATTGACCAGTTGGTGACCAGTGAACTAGTAGCTGATTGAATCATCTTTAGCTAAAAGAACCAAAGAGCCCCACTGAAGCGCCTGATCTATACAGATGCGGAGCCAGGTGGAAGTAATATGCTGCTGCTTTTAACAGGGTGCGTTTCTTTGGTTTTTGTTCCACATCTGTCAGTGCCCTTTGTGTTGCAATTTTCCTAAGCACTATAGAAACTGGGTTTTTAACTTTATAAATTCATGTGCAGCAGGTGGGATGCAATGCCTCCATTTGGGTCAAGAAGAAACAAAGGCACAGAGAAGTCTAATGATTCAACACTGGAACTGGGATTCAGAAAGCCTGGGTTCTGATCTGAACTCTGCCACTGACTCTGTGATCTTGGATAAGTCAGTCTCATGGTGTTTCTCCATAGCTGTAATAATACTTATCAAACGATATCCCAGAGATGTTATATTAATTAATGTTTGCAATGTGCTTTGAAAATGGACAATGCTAAATAACATATAAAATATTATTATTTATAATCTATGAACAGCTGGAAACCCTGGTTGTTTCCCCAAACCCATGCTGTAGCCAAAACCAATTCAAATAAGCTAACAGTAATTTTGCTTACTGGTGAGGATTTGGGTTACAAAAGTAATATTAAAATAGTTATGTGAGGGTTATGGCATGGTTAGGAAAAAATACTGAACTTTAAGAGATGTTCAGAAAGCAAGCCAAAACATTTTCCAAAAAGGTCTGTTTCATGAAAATTATTTAGATCAGCCTGTTATCCACTCACCTTTGTAGTAAAACAAACAATAATCAGAAAGCACGAACCATCGTCTTTTCCATAACCTCATTCCAGAGCTATCCTGAAATACAAAGAATTTAATATACTTTCTTTCCATTCAAATACAATCTCAAAGATAGAGAGTCTACCTTAGCATCTAATTCTTATGTTATAACAATTAACAGTTTATCAGAAATATACCAAGTATGTTATTTATTACAAAAAAATGAATTTTTTGCTTTTTGTTTAGTGAAACATGATACAATCACAGAAACATCAAGTATAGTATCCAGTTACACGATGATCTTTCTTAAGTCATCCACAGCACAATTTTCAAACTTTTATTCACTAACTAAATTTAGATCTCCAGTACATGTGGCTCTATGAACAAAGGAGCTGTTGCCATGTATTTCTTCAAAGGATCTATCAGGCCATTAGGAAAAATAATCAAGTTATTAAGAAGGGAGATGCATTCCAACACGAACTGCTTTCCGTTTCTGATGAGTATAAGGACATATTAGCAGAGTAGACAAGAAAAGTGTAGTTGAACAACATACAAAAGCAGAAAAAAAACTCGGTAAATAAATGAGTTAAAATGTGTAGAAATCATAAAAAAAGCAAGGAAAATACTTACTAGAACATTCTCTCACCAACCTTCAAGTTAACTCAAAAACTCTTTTAAAAATACAATGCATTCTATTAGACTTTTAGCTCTACAAGAGATTTTCAGCAGAGAAATAGGCATTGTCCAAAAACAGAAAATAACATTGAAAAATTATTATAATTACAGATCTACTGAAATTCCAACAGAAGTGACCTCTACAGTGGCTCCTTTAATCTTGCTGGTTTCGTGGCGTACTGCCCCCAATACTGATTGGCAGAGGGACCCTAGTATCCCCAACACTTGCTACTGATTGCTGGGGGGGCAAAAACTGTGGTTTTAAATATGACATGTTTTTTATCTCCTGCTGCTGATTGGTCAAGGGGCCCTGGTGGCCCCGCTGCTTGCTGTTGATTGGCCAGGAGGCAAAAACTGCTCCATATTTAGAACCAGAAAGATTAAAGGAGCTGCTGGAGACTGCACTTTCACCATGATTTCGGTAGGTCCCTATTATAATTTAACTTACCTAATGTTACTCTTAATTATGATGCTGAAAGTGTAGCTCACAAAATTCTTATAGGAAATACAAATGTTCAATAGTCAGAAAATAAGGAGATGGCTATACTCTAACTACATATGGTGATGCATGTACCAAATTCTCATTCTGCTTTCTGTCAAAGGTTTACAGCATCCACCTAGAAAAAAATTTCATTTGTGTGAACTGCCTACCTTCACATAAAAAGTGTTCTGACACCAGCCTCTCAATTTAATGTTTCCTATTACCTAGTACATTGTTCCTCCTACGAAAAGGGTGTCAAACTCACTGCTCCTCACAAGCTGGATCCAGACTGCAGGTCTCTTCATGCGCCAGATCCAGATGCAACTGTAGGGCAAGCAGCAATGGCAACCATGGGGCTTAAGGCTGATGTTGGTTACCATCTGGTATGCACCCCCAACAGTGCTCTATATCCAGTATTTCAGTGGTGGGCCCTACCCACCTGACCCCCCAATTCCTGGCACCTCTGGAAGCCCTGTCGGTAGGATTACATGACCTATATGTTTGACACTCCTGCCCTAAGAGATAGGGCTATAAATTACGTAGAGTGGCCCCAAAGCATCTTTTTCAAGAGCCTCAGAAGTTTCATGCTGTGAAGACTGACTGATACAACTGTTGAACTGGGGAGCGGGGGGTTGCAAATAAAGAGACAGAACTGACTAGCTAGAAGATCATAGAAAAATCTTATTAAATAAGCGGAGGCCATAAAAAATGTTAAATGAACAAGCTGTCTGCCAGAGTGCATCTTTGACAGGGTGGAAAGCACAGAAAACATTTTCTGGACTGAAGGAGAGGATTTCCAAATGGGAATCTCTGAAGCGCCGTTCCACATATGCCCTTTTTTCCCCGTCCTAATCCCACTTTAAACATGTGGAGAGAGGCTGTTTCTTTTCCTCCTCTTTCTTTTTTTATGTTGTAAGGGACAGTGGCACATGCTAAATATACCTGCATAGGCTCTATCCTGTCCATTGCTACTGCCCTTGGGCAAATAGGGTATGTTGGGACTAGGTGATTGGCTCCTTGTAATGCTGTAACATGAGGAACACACATTACTGCCTAGGAGATTTGTTATCATGGACCTTGTTTCACCTTCACACCTGCTATTTGCAATCTAGCTGTTGGAAGCTAGGTGGATTACAAGTTTGAGGCTGACAAAGAGACTCATTATATGTAAAACTGGTGAAAGGATGCGTGGGTTTTCTTCACTTTCCACTTGTCACCCAGGAGGTCTGAGTCTGTAGATCTGGGTTACATTTATGGCAACTTGGGCAAGTGCCAATGCAGTTGAATGAAATCTCTATAACTAGCAGGGCTTCTTGGTCACTGGTCCTGAGTACGGCAGTGCATTGGAAGAGGATTTGGCTCTGTCTTGCATAGCTTGAATCTCCCTTAATCTTCTCTTGCCTAACACTGAAGTGCAGAAGGAGAATGGGTTGCAGCTCTGCTTTCAGTCAAGGCCTATGGACAGGCTCACAGGTATAGTACCCCACATAGAAAAAAATCCTACTACACAGTTCAGAATGGTAACCAGATTTAGGCAAGAGAGTTGCAGCCTTCATATTAAACCATTAATCTGTTGTCTATTTGTCGTTGTTTCCATAATCATATCCAATTTTAAAGTAAACTTTAGGTGGCTGATTTCAGAGGTGCTGAGCACATATAACTCTCCCCTGTAGTAAATAGGAGTTCCAGATGCCTTGGATTACTGGCAGTCAGGCCCTTGTTCATTTGCTGTTACCTAAAAAAGCTTTCTTGGTTATCTGATGATTTTGAAATTCAAAGAAACAGAAACTGATCATCTCTTATACACACCTGTTTATGTAGCCAGCCTCGTACTACAACTGGAACATTAGGATTCCTCCGGATAGACTGGTCCCTCTTTCCAAAACTGTGAACTTTGTTGCCAGATTTTACAACCTGAAGACACATGTTTGGACATTACTAAAAAAATACTATATTAAACATACATTTTGGAATATATAAATGTTTCCTACTTTATTACACAGTAATAATTATAACAGTTATAGTGTTTTTTCAGATATCATATTTATAATAGTTAAATACAACCAATTTAACACCATCATCAGCATACCAGTGTCCGAATGCACTTCCAGCTCCTGCATGAATCATAACTATGAATGACGTCTAACCTTTTGAAAGATAAAACTTAGTTCTTCTGTGCTTGAGGGAAGCTCTGTGCGCATTATCAGAACTGTTTGTACCAAAGCACAGAATGAGTCACACAGTCTCTTTCTCATACGTACACATGCACATGCGCCACACAACAGAAATACATTGTACATGTGAACTTTACTTTTGTTCTTTTATGCTTCATCTCGTATAAAATTAATTTAAACAGAAGCAGTGCTTCATTTCCAGAAACAGAGTACCAGAAAAGTAGTACTGCTGGGAAGGAGATTAGAAAGTCCCCACAAACAGAGGAAGTTGTAGGACTCTTCTCAGGTGAAAAGCTGTCTGGGGAAAAAGGAAGACAGCATGAATTTTTGGGGAGAGGACTTGTCCTGCTCTTTCAGGATCTATCTGCTTTACAGAGATGTCCGTGTCTTTCTGATATACCTCCTAATCCTATTTCTCTTCCTCAAGAGGAAGAAAGCTATTTTGCATGAGACATCTCAGCTTCTTGCTTGCCCTGCAGAGGTCAGCTATATTGTACCCACCGTGTCTCAGTGCTTTACAAGGTGCTAGAGACATATCTGCACAGAAGTACGTAGGATGAAATCCTCAGCACTTCTGATCACTGTTTTCTATTCAAACCTCTCTACTGAACTCGCAAGAGTATTTATGCTCATCAGGTGAAGACAAATAACCCAGCACTGGGAGCCAACAAATAGTTCTCATTTGAGGGGAATAATTTTGCCAAAACAACCAGGCAGGCGGCTCTACACCGTGCCATCAGGTACACCATAGAAGATTAAAAGAAATATATGTAAGACAGAACCTTGCAACAACATTAAAGTAGACAGTGTCAGTTTAGATCAGGATTGTCCACCTGAGGGCCAGGGACAGACATTACACATAAACCGGTTTAAGTGATCAGAAACTGGTTTAAACCTGTAACAGAACAGAAGTTCAGTGCACATAAACCACTTTCAAAATGGCATAAACTGGTTTAAGATAAACCTGGTTGAATGTAGTATCATACTTAACTGATCAGGGTCAAACCAGTTTATGCAATGTCTTCCCCAGACTTCTTCCTTGTTTAAGTTAAACCAGAGTCCCCCTAGCATCTCAGATGATTTGCATACTTGGGCTGGGCTGCCTGCTCCAGAGAACAGAGCTGGCCCTGCCCTTCTGCTGCCTAACCAGAGCTCCAGCAGACTGCAGGCACAGCAGGATCTGCCTGAATTCCCTGGCTGCTCATTTTATCAATTCAGGCTCAGGCTTTGTGAATGTCTGCCCCTAGCCCAGGAGTTAACATGTGTCCAGGCTCCTGATCTGGGCACTTCAGCACTGCTCCAGCAGCAGCTGCTGCAGGAGTCTCCAGGCTCCCCCTCTCTTCTCTGACTTCCACTGCCTGACCCCATCTCTGGGGGTGGGGCTGAGGGAGCCCATAGCCAGGTGGCTTGGGGGGACCCAGATGTCCCATGCAATGCTGTACAGCACAGGGTGCCAGCATGGTACAGCCAAGCTCCAGCTGCACAGTGGGAGGGATCTATATATCTCAAGGCATAGGGATAGCGGAGGGTGCAGGGACTGCAACCCCCAGCCATTCAGAAATTGGACAGCCTTGATTTAAATTAAGAAGATTCACTACTTTTTTCATATCTATATTAGAATTCTCTAGTTTTAGTACAGACATCAACACAGGTGCATCTTAATGCTAAATTAATATAATAGCAGAAATATCTTATAAACTTGATTATTACATGTATTCTGTACTGAATTAAATTAAGCTTAAACACAGAAGTGCCCCATTGATATAAAAGGCCTAAGGACAAATCAAAGCATCAATTAAATAGAGTTTCAGGTGATTATACAAATGGAAGAAATATTTTGCATTCCAGCTAAGTACCAATTTGGAAGCTAAGTGTATCTGTAATGCAACGATGACTACTACATTATTATACCATTGGAAGTTCTTAATACTAGAATGAAAACATCATTATTTGCATGGTAATTTTATGCAACTGGGGCTCCATCTGGCTAAGCACTGGGAAAACATACAGTAAATAATAGGCCCATCTTCAAGATCTTACAGTCCATGTTTGAATTGCAACATAGCAATAAACAAAAGTGACAAAAAAAAGAAGAGTTGAATTGTATAATTGGATGTTTAGGTCTATACTTCATTATGTGATTAGTCAAAGATGTATCCACCCCATGCTTTGGACAATCATGTGAACAATTTTAATAAAACAAATATAAAACAGTTAGATTGAAAAGCATAAATACAGGAGTAATTGGAGAAATACAGATTTTCAAAGGCAAGAACCCACTCTTTTAACAGCTGGCTCCTCATCATTTGTGCCACAAATCCTTCAGATAACTACAACTGCTAAGGTGTCATATGAGGATATAATATTTTCATGGGAGCAAGAACCAGGCCATCAAGGACTCAGCTGGCATGTCCACACATTGCCCTATGGTGACATAGTGATGTGCTACATTGCTGTAAGGCACACTACAGTGATGTAGCAATCATGTGGGTCTACATGTAATCAGCAGCTACGTTGCCATAGCTGCACACTCCCTGCTTGTAGTGCACTGCTGCGGTGAGGTAATGGGGAAGTCTTTGCGTGTCTATACAGTGCAGTAGGGGCAGTTACTGTGCCATCTGTTAGTACTCCCAAAAGGAAGTACCAAAATACAGCGCAGTAATGTTGCTGTATGGAGACATGTAGACGCACCCAGTAGGTTAAAACCTACACTACACTGAACTCCAATGAGAATGAACTGGAAGCCACTGCAGAATCCAACGTTCATTGCCAATAAAAATCTGGCAAAGTAAATTGGCTGCCCTATACTGTACTAGCTGAAGAAAACTAAAAAATCTTGAAGTTTAGTCCACAGCACACCTCGGTGCAGAGATATATTGCAGAACTGGCAATGAAAGATAACTATGGCCAGGTCCAAATCTGATATAAAAACGTTGTAACTTCCTAGCCAAATCAAGATAGATGGTATACATCCAAAACTCAGAGACATCACTGCCATTTCTTCTGTTCATTTCTCCCACTTATGAACATTACCATCAGTTTTATCTGGAATGAACTTCAGTCAGCTGTGTTTTCCATCATGTCAGACCCTCATAAAAATCAACTAAGCTAAAATCTATGGTGTCTTGTCTCTTACTCAGGCATGAGTATGACACTCAATAGTAGTTACATATATGGGACACTAATCCTCTTTAGCTTTAGGATATTATTTTAAAATATTAACTGAAGACAGAATCCTCTGTTTATTGAAACCCTACCAATAGAACAACAATTTTCTGCAGACTCACCAAAGCTCCTGTCTAATAGCTATGACACACTGATTTCAGGATTTGACATAAGGAATGTTCAAAAAAAACCCCCACCCTTACCAAACTGGGTGCATTTTACATGGTGATTTAATAGCAAATGCTGTTATTCTGTCCGCTGCCCCTGAAACTCAGAACTCATTTGCTCTTTTCCTGCGGGCATAACAACCTCTACCTTTCTTCTTCCAAATCACACCTTTAAATGCAATTTTTCTATAAAGATCCCCAGGGACAGCAGCTAGAAGATTACTTCACCAATATGAGCTTTAGAACTGCATAATGTATTTAAAGTATTTTTTTGGTGTCAGATTACAACACTACAGAGTAGCATATAAAATGGTGGGCTGTGTGTTTCTGCAGGATTAAGTGATATTAATAAAATATTACAGTATTCTGGTATTGATCTCTCACAGTTTATAGTGCTTGAATCAACTTTTAGTAATATTCTGCTCTAGGAAATCACTGATTTTCACTTAATGTTTTTGAGGACTATGTACCTTTAGTTCTGATTAGAAGTCAACCCTGCATGCAATTTGAGCCCATATTTTCCTATTCAATTTTAGGAAAAGCAGTTTTCCCCTGGAAAAAAGTGGATAGCTACAGATGAAGTCCTGGAACTCCATTTGCCCACTAGAGAATCAAATAAGCAAGAACCAAACTGTGGATTAAATGCACTAAAAATATTAAAATTAAAAAAAAATCCTCTGTACCCAAGATAATTTTGTTCAACCTTCACCACATTGTTTTCAGTTTAAAATATCACGCAATACAATTATATACAGGTATACAGGTGTCAACCAAAAGAGGTCCTTATCAAAGGCCAAACTTGAATTGCAATGTGGAGTTTAAGCTTCATATACCAAATAGAGTCAAAATCCTAGGATCCAAACAGCCCTTATTTTAGGAAATCAAAATTCAAATTTTCCTATTTTGGGGGAGAAATAGAGATGGATGGTTGTATGAGAACTTCCTGACAATTTTTTGTTTAGTTTAGTTGCAAAAGACTAATTTCATTGAATGCAAAATGTTTCGCTATTGGTTTTGACTGACTTTGCTGAAAAACAGAAAAATAAGCTTCCAGCAGAACCCTACATGCCAGCTTCTTGTGTGGGCTGTATCCTGGGTTTGTGGCTCCTGTGGTCACCTGCGGCAGACTGCACCATAACTGGGAGCCAGGGGTCTGGAAATCTTAATTTGATGCATGGCTGTTAGCACTTCTAAACTCTTAGCCTCCTTGCAGGAGGATTAATGCCTGCCTCGCACTCCAATGGAGCATATATGGGAATCTCACGAAACATGGTGGGGCTGTA